TCATGTGGTACGCCAATTCCTTCAATCAAAGCTTATTAGTCTCAGTCACCTTGAAACAGAGAATCAAGTTGCAGATATGTTCACCAAGGGGCTGAGCCAGCATCGACTTCTTCACTTACTATCCAAGCTAAACATCCATGATATGTATGGTTAGCTTGAGGGGGCATGTTAGAGAAGACGAAGTTTGATGCTGAAGCTGTATTGGCAAAACGAAACTAAGGAGCTCCTGCACGACGCCGTTCTCTCCGGAAGCAACTGAAGAGCTGGATAAGAACGATGCCGTTCTGCTTAGTGTGGTTTATTCATTCATTGATCAATGTACAGAGCACGTGTCTCTTTTCTATTGGTAGTTATAGGTTTACTGTTTATTAGCCGTTGTAATTAAACTAGCCTAGACTACTTGTACAGGAAGGAGTTGTCTCCTATATATATAGCCTTCGCGGCACAAGAATCCGATGCGGGTTCTTCTCCAATTCTGATCCATTTTACAGTTTTACATGAACGTTACGGAGGAGGATCGTGGCTCGTGGGTGTAACCGCCCCTGCATTAATGTTTAGTTGCTCTTTTTGGATGCTGCATGTATTTGATGCACTAGTGAATGGGTTGCTCTTTTTAGAAAAGAAACTAATACCATAGTTTTTTTTTTATTAGAGGGAGGCAGAAACTGCCGAGAGAAATACAAGCCCACGGGCTAGCAAAAAGACAGCTGGCCACCTAATAAAACATCCTCAAAACAGAGAATAGGCAGAGCAAGGAAAAAACCATCGACGCAAGGAGATCACGGAGCATCTCTCTGAGGAAATTGTCGATTGAAATTGACACCGAGCATATCTTCACAGCAAATTCTATTCAGTTCTAATGGGGGATCATCCAATTCATACGTACCAAAGGGATAGACGAGACTGTGCTTCGAGAGCCAGTCCGCGACTCTATTCCCTTCCCGATACGTATGCACCAAACGAACCACCCATTCTTTAGCAAGCAAGCGCCTAATAGCTCCTAATATCGTCGAGTGCGGGTGAACGCTGTCAGTTCTTTTTTCAATCAAATGGAGAGCAAGCTGGGAGTCCGACTCAAGGATCAGAAAGCGCGAACCTTTCTTCCAGGCGAGTTCAAGGCCTTTCAGAATACCCCACAGCTCTGCTAAAATTGCTGATCCTGAGCCTAACTTACTGATAAAACCTCCGATCCAAACTCCATCATGGTCGCGAAGAGCCCCCCCTGCAGAAACAATGCCCTGATTACTCTGAGCAGCACTGTCAGTGTTAATTTTGTGCCATCCCACAGGTGGCTTTGACCAGCCAACTAGAATTTCTTCCCTGCGAGGAGGATTGCTGGTAGCGAGGGTCTTGCTGGCTGACTCCCATGTTTTTGCCCAGTCAGTAGCCTTGGCAGTGATATTATGGCAGAGGGTAGGAGTAGAGAGCTTGATACCCTTGAAGATGCTCTCGTTCCTGCACTTCCAAATGTACCAAATCATTAGGCTAAAGAAACTGTTCCAATTGCCCGTCCAGCTCCCCATGGATTCATCCTTCAGGTTCTCTTTGAACCAGGCGTCGTGAGGCATGTTATAGAACTCGGCCTGACTCTGCTGCTCCAAAGTTCTGTTCCAGACTTCTTTGACTCTGTGACAATCCCGGAGGCAATGAAGGGCAGTTTCCGGGACACCAGGGCAGTCCGGACAAGAATCATCATGGGTTAGGTGCCTATGCTTCCTTACACTGTTCGTGGTGATTTTTCCATGAGCTGCCATCCAAGTAAAACCTCTTACACGCTCTGGTACCTGAAGTTTCCAGATTCGCTTCCAGACTTGGCTTGGTTGCTGTTCCTGCTGCTGTTGAATAATCTTGTAGGCTGATTGAACAGAAAAATGACCATTCGACGTGAGACTCCAAAAGCTGCGATCTTTTTCCATAGCTAGAGGGTCGATAGGAGTCGCCCTGATTTTGTCTGTGACCTGGCTTGTAAGTAGATGATGGAACTCCTCCGTTCTCCAGCCGCTTTCCGGACCCCACATGGCTGCCACCATCTTGTGTACCTGATCTTCAGGGACTTCAGAGACGGCGTGCTCTATAAGGGGTACCTGAAATATCCAAGGATCAAGCCAAAAATGAGTGTTTCTGCCGCTTTTGATATTAATAGCCAGCCCTTTCTTAAGCAAATTGGCTGTAGAAGTAAAGCTTCTCCACGCGAGAGAACTTCCCTGTTTTTTCTGCAATATATTGATCCCCTCCCTGTTTCCTCCATATTTTTCCAGGAGGAGCTTTGTCCAGAGGGAGTCTTCTTTTGTAATGAGCTTCCAACCACCTTTAGCCAACATCGCTTGGTTAGCTAGTCTTGTAGGGCGTATGCCGATACCTCCTTGAGATTTTGGCATCGTCATCAGGTCCCAAGCCACCGGGTGGAATTTCGATTTCCCATCTTCTTCTCCCCAAATAAAATTTCTGTTGATCCTTTCCAAATCATTGCAAACAGAAGCCGGGAGGAGTTCTGAAAACATAGGGTAAACAGCCATAGAGGAAGCAATAGATCTCACCATGGTAATCCGAGAGGCTAAGGAAAGGCAGCTAGATTTCCAAGTAGCCAACTTCTTTTGAATCCGGAGAACTAGCTCTTTATAGCGAGTTTTGGTCACTCGGCCATGGATAGCGTTCAGACCCAAGTATCGCCCCAGATCCGCAGTAAGGGGAATATTAGCTCGGTTGCTGAGATTTTGAGCCATATCCCTTCTGATGTTAGGGGATACATAAAGAACTGATTTATTCAGATTGACTTTCTGACCAGAGCTGGAGCAAAAGTCCTCCAAGCATTGCTTAATGATGTCAACCTGTTTGCTCCCCGCCTCTGCAAAAAGAATGAGGTCATCTGCAAAGAAAAGGTGAGACAGTTTAAGACCATGAGAAGTAACAGAAAGCGGTTTCCATTGACGGTCTGCTACTGCTATCTCAATTCTGTGAGCGAGACGCTCCATACAGAGAACAAAAAGATATGGGGACAAGGGGTCTCCCTGTCGAACTCCTCGCGACGGTGCAATAGGATCCGTAAGTTTCCCGTTCCAGTTGATCCTCATCTTGTTCTCCTCCACGCAGGTCATAATTCTTCCTATCCAACTGCTAGGCAGACCAACTTCAATCAGAGTGTCTCTGATGAAGTCCCATCTCAGCCTGTCATAAGCCTTTTCAAGATCAACCTTTATTACTATCCCTCCTTTCTTACCCTTCTTAGAACGAAGAGAGTGAAGGACTTCCTGGAGGAGAATAATATTAACAACAGTCTGCCTTTTAGGGATGAAACCGCTTTGGGTGGGAGCAATGAGCTTGGACATGATCGGTTTCATCCTGTTGGCCATAGCCTTCGTGATTGCCTTTAGACTGACATTGTTAAGGCAAATGGGTCTAAGCTGCGCCGGGGACTCTGGATGTTCGTTTTTGGGAATGAGCACAATGTTGGACTCAAAGGTTTCTGCCGGCAGATGACATGTTTCAAAGAAAGAGATGGCAAAATTAGCAATATTCTTCCCCACAAATTTCCATAATTTCTGATAAAAAACTGCTTGGAACCCATCCGGTCCGGGGGCAGAGAAAGGTTTCATCTCAAAAATCAATTTGTGAAAATCAGCAATAGTAAAAGGATGAAGAAGTTGAAGAAGATCTTCCTGGTTTATTCTCGGGAAGCAGTTCTTGGGCATCTTGTCAAAATACTGGGAACTATCTTGGGTGTAGAGGTGGATGTAAAAATTGAGGACCATTTCCTCAAGCTTCCCAGGATCATCTATCCAGTGTCCATTCTCATCCTTCAAGGCCAGGATTCTATTGCGACGACGTCTCCTGGTGGCTTGCTGATGGAAGTAGGTGGTATTTTGTTCCCCTAGAGTGGCCCATTTCTCTTTAGCTCTTTGGAACCAAATCACCTCTTCTTGAGCCAAAATAGAATCGAGCTCAGCTTCTAATTTGGCCTGCAGCTTAAGAAGACCTGGGCTGAAGTTGTTTGCAAGCTTGACTTGTATCCCCTGCAGACGGGCAAGGACTCTCTTCTTGCGACAGTGGATATTGCCAAAAGTCTCCTTACTCCAATCTTGAAGTTTAGATGTGATGTCCTGAAGTGCTTGCTACAAGTTTGTGTTTCATTCCAGCTACCTGCAAAAAAGTCACAAAAACGTTCGTGCAACAGCCACGCCACTTCAAATCTGAAGGGTTTAGCATTATAGGTAGTAGGGGGAGCTCCATCACTAGAAGTCAAAATAGGCATATGATCGGAATGCAGCTTAGGAAGGTGCTGAACAACAGTCTTGGGGAAGGCAGAGTTCCAACGGGCATTGCACAGCGACCTATCAATTCTGCTAGCCTTTCGAGTGAGCCGGGAGTCACCTCTGTACCAAGTGAAACAAAGACCTAAAACCCCCAAATCAAAAAGGTTAGCTGAATCAATCCAGTCCGGAAATTGTTGACAACGTTTCAGAGCTGCAGGAGAGATTGATCCAGATTTTTCAGAAGGGAGACTATAGGCATTGAAGTCTCCTGTGATGAGCCAGGGCAGGTTGGTCGCTCTGCTCGCTTGGATAATTCTCTCCCAGAGTTGCCTATGAAAACTATATTGGGGGCTGCCATAGACTCCAGTGAACAGAAAGTCGACAGAGCCAGCGCCATTAACTTTCACAGTTAAGTGCTGCTGGCTAGCATCCACTAGTTCCACAGCAAAGACATCCGCTTTCCAAGCTAACCAAATGCCCCCTTTTCTTCCTTCAGCATCAATTCTGATAACATCACCAAAGCCCAGGCTGCTGCAGACACGGTTGGCTTTCTCGCCACTGATTTGGGGTTCGAAGAGGAAGAGGAATTGAGGGCTGTAACTTTGAACTAGAAGCCTAACCGTTCTTCGAAAAACTCTACTACCTGCACCACAGACATTCCAAGCAATAACTTTTAAATTGATAGGGTTAAACATAGGAAACATAAGGTAAAAGAGAAGAGGACTAAGCCGAGCCAGCAGCTCAAAAGGATTAAGCCAGGATTTCGTTAAGAGCTGCCGGATTTTCTTGGTTGATGGCAGCCGAAGTTCCACGATTAATGGGGGCATCAGAGGAGGGCTCCAGCGAGTTTCCTTGCTGATCTTCCTCCATAGCCACCTCATTTGTCTTTTCAGCAGCCAAAGATTGGGGAGCAAAAACTTTAGCATTAGAGGAAGCAAAGAGCTCTTCGATGTCCTTGATGGTGATGGAGAAGCCACCATCTTTCGACTTCTTGAGAGCATCTTTGGCAATCAAGCTCAGCTGGAGAGATTTCTTGTTTGTCTTGTGGTTGATTCCCCTGTTCTGGATAGCGTTCAGCATCTTTTCTGGGTTCTTCTTTTGTGGCCGTTGACTCGAGTGCTTTTTATTCAAATTTGGGTTCTGGTTTTCCTTGGATGAGCTGAGGAGAGGAGGGACCGAGACGATCTGAATGTTTGTGTTGTTGGGGCCTTGGAGTGCTTTGGTCATGATAGTAGTCGAAGCAGGCTTGGTAAGTTGGTCCTTGTCCACCGAATGGGCCTCCATCGGACGGCCCATACTAGAGCCCGCTTCTGAGGATCCAACCTCCCTCCACTCCTGAATGACAACTCCTTTCGTTTTACCGTTGGGGCCCGAAGTCTCCACCGTGATGGCCTTCCCTTTTTGTGAGGTATGAGTTTCCTTCCTCTGCAATTCCTTACTTTCCTTTTTCCCCTTCAACTCTGACTCTGATTTTCCCTTTGTGACCGATTTAAGAGCCGTTTTCCCAAGATCCGCGCCAGAGGTTGAGCTGATTGCGTGATTACCCGATTTAGCTTTTGTCAACTTCCGAGTTTTCCTCGTGACCTGCATCCAGGGGCCGTAACCGGCCGGAGCTTCCGGCGGTGAAAGACCATCGCCAGCATTGCCAGCGCCGTCGGGGCCGGTAACCAGAGCCAGCTCCGAAGAGTTCGCCCTTGCAGGGCATCGTTCTCCAACATGACCAATTTTCCCACATCCATAACAGATATGAGGTAGATTTTCGTAAATAACACCTTGCCACTTGCCATCGAGGTGGATCCTCGTCGGAAGGGGTTTTGTCATGTCCAGGTCGATCGCCATACGAGCAAACTTCCCCCTTTGTAAATTTTCTGTGTGATAGTCAAGCTTAATCGTTCTACCAATCAGATTCCCAATCGCAAAAAGGACCTCTTGATGGTAGAAGTGAACTGGGAGTTCTGGAAATTGGACCCAGGCAACCACTGATCTGTGGGGCTTGTCTGACGTGCGGAAGTTTGGCGACCTAGGGTGCACTAGAAGGTAGTGATCAAGTATCACCCATGGACCTCCCGAAAGGGCCATTAAGTAGTCCTGATCATTGCTGCAGGTGACCAGAAAAGTTTCATTGTTCAGATTCATAATATCCAGTGTTCCCGACGGCCGCCACTTCCAACGGAGTTGAGAACAGAGGTAAGCATACAAGACTGATCGACCCAATAATCGCACCACCAGGGTTTTCTTCCAGGGTTGGCAGAGCCGCTCTTTGAAAGTTTCGGAGAGATTTAGCGCTGGCTCCCCATTGAAAGTTCCTGGCTCCATGTCATGTTCGCCGACGAAGGTCCATTGACCCCCCTTCGACTGTTGCTGGAGATTCTGACCTGTTAGAACGTTTCTGTAAGAGATGGGAGCGGTGCTTTGTCCTGGGGAAACCTGTGTCGCTTCTTGAGATGACGGGGACGAGATTGGATCCGGTGGTTTGCCTGCCGGCGGCGTGGACGTCGCTGACGGGGTCACCGAGTTGAGAGCGTTTTGATTCATCACTGACGGGGTCCTCACCTTAGTGAATTTCTCTTTTATTAATAGTTCGAGAAATGTATTGTAACTAATACCATAGTTGAAGCATTTAACCTTCAAATCAATTAATAGGGTAAATTCCCTACATATTGTTTTTTTTTTAATTTACCACGAATATAGTGTTTCAAAAACTATTTACAAGAATATTGTGTTTTGATAGAGGGAAGGCAGCGATGGCGCCCGAGACTCGGAAAATCGAGTTTTGAAGGGTAAAGCCAGCGACGGCGCCCGAGTCTCAGGCTTTGGCGCTATTTGTAAAATTTCAAATAGCGCCAAAGCCTGAGACTCGGGCGCCGTCGTTGTTTCCTTTTATTTTCTTATCCCCTTCCTCCCTGCCCTCTCGCACCAGGACCACCCACACACCCCCGACCCTCCACTCCTCCCTCCTCCTTCACCTCCTCCAACCCAGCGCCGACGCCAAAAGAAAGAGCGGCGACGCCGAGAGTAAGAGGGCACCGCCTCAGTCTCAGGCGGCGGCGCTAGGAGCTCGACGAAGGCGCCCCAACTAGAGCGGCAGCGCAAGCAAATCCCATGTCTGACGATGAGCAGCAGCAGGCGTCCGGCGGCAGAGGAAGAGGCCGAGGGCTGCGAGGGCGTCGTGGCGGCGGCGGCGGCGGCGAACGCTACATGAGTGAGTGACTTCGGCCTTCTTGCCGGCGGCGATTTTTTTTTTTTCGGCGACAATTTTTTTATGTTCTAATATTTTTTTTCCAGTTCCTAGGCTTATCGATCCTTGTTCGATGAGACCACCACCTGCGGCAATCGATACTGCTCCGATGGATCCGGAACTTATTTGGGGGCATGGTCACCATCGGATTGACGCAGTTTGGGCAAATGAGGTAAGTTTTTTTCAAACTATTTCTATAGTTTTTTATTAGTTGAATAATATAATAGAATTAAATTAAATTAAATTACGAATAGAATTAAATTAAATTAGGAATAGAATTAGATTAAGTTACGAGTATATTATATTAGAATAAGTTTAGTTTAGATATATAAATATAAATATTAGGTGAATTGAAGGAATTGAATTAATATAGTTTTGTGCATTAATTATAGGCTGGTGATCGACCTTACCACATTCGTCATACGAGCAATTTAGTTCGATACAATCCACTTTACCTGCCGTATCTCGTCGATGTCGGCTTGTCTGTTCTGCCACTAGCCCCTCTTACCGGTGATCCGGGTTTGATTACTGCGCTCGTAGAGCGTTGGCGACCCGAGACATCGACATTCCACATGTCGTTCGGTGAGGTGACGATCACCCTAAAGGACGTTGTGACACTCACCGGATTAGCGATCGACGGTGATGCCGTCGTAGTAGACATACCAGACGAGGACTGGTCGGCTATGTGTCTTCGACTGTTAGGACGGGCTCCTACTGATCTTGGTGGCGGCGTCATCCAGATTACTTGGCTCAGGGAGACTTTCGATGAGCTACCGCTTTCTGCATCACCCCAGACGACAGAGCAGTTTGCAAGAGCGTATGCGCTGTCTCTGATGTGAGGTGTCTTGTTCTCCGATCAGTCTGGAGGTTCAGTTCACCTGCAGTACCTACTTTTGGTGGAGGATTGGCGCAGAGCGGGGAGGTTTGCTTGGGGAGCAGCTGTGCTATCCTACTAGTACCGTGAGATGGGTAGATCGGCGCTGCAGATGACGGCATCTTCTTCACTGGGTGGTGACTTTGGTGGATGGTCCGCCTTGCTGATGATCTGGACGTGGGAGCGGTTTCCTCATACATCACCACTACATGCGGCGACGGGTGCGCAGATTACTCAGGACGCAGTGCCACGTGGCCTTCGGTGGCTTCCGGCCCACACCCGTCAGCATGGAGATCAGTTCTACTTGTGAGTGTGTTTGACCCCGTCATGTTGAAATTGTTGGGAGGAGTCTGAACTACATAGATGCCTTGACGTCGATCAAGAGCTGTCACAGAATGTCCAACTGCCTTTTGTGACCACGGCTTCATCAGCTCTTCGCACTTGGTGGAGTACTGTGAAGGACCACTTCTAATTTCTTCTCCTGTCTCAAACCTGTACTTATCGAATTTCTCCACCAATCGCCAATAGGTATGTTGCACAAGAGAAGCTATAGGAAGTGCACGAATACCTTTGAAAACACCATTGATGCTTTCTGCCATGTTGGATGTCAGGATAGACCAACGACGCCCACCATTGTAGTTATCATGCGCTAAACTCCAACGAATCTGATGTTGGTCCACCCAGTTATCACATGAAATATTTCTATCAGTGGCCACCTTCTTAATTTGCTCAACTTGACGATCGAACTTCTCCAAGCGTTTTTCTCCGGCTAACAAAATAATCAACCACACGGGTTAGATAAATTCATGACAAAATTACCTAAAATTAAATGAAGAAGGCTTACCAACTCGAAATAGTTGCTTATACATAATTCTGCTTTTAGTCTTCCTTTGCAAATTGCTGCATAGTGTCGCATGCACCACCTCCACTCCCAACCTCTTCCGATGTTATTCATGGCTTCATAGAGTCTTGCATGTCTATCTGAGATGATGCATACATCATTTCGATCAGTCAAACCCTGAACGTGACTTATGAACCATGGCCAACTATCAGTATTCTCACTCTCCACTATGGCAAATGCAATTGGAAAAATCTTCTTCCGGCCATCAAATGAGCTTGCCATAAGTAGCACTCCTTTATACTTCCCAGTAAGAAATGTCCCATCAACAACCATGACGCCTGGACAATTCTTGAATCCATCCATACAAGGTCCATAAGCCCAAAATACTCGCTGAAATATCGAATGACCTGGTTGAGTCGAAGGAACTCTTGCCCAATCAATCACCGATGTTGGCATTTTTCTTTTGACCACCCGCAAGAATGTTTGCAAAAAATCATAGGATTCTTCCCAATTTCCATGCAACTTCTCCAATGCTCTTTGTTTCCCATACCAAGCCTTCTTGTAAGTAACTTGCATATTAAACTTATCTTTCAACTCAGCCTGCACAGTTAGAACACTCAAATTTGGTTGAGCACGTACCAAGTGTTTCACGGACTCAGATATAACGTCGACATCAAGATGGCGATGATCCGTCGGTTGAGTCGTACTGCTACAAGTATGCACCAACTCGACCTTTCTCATGCTCCAATCGCCTCCCACATCTCGACATCCAAACCGCACCATCCAAGGACATTTGTCCTCGTTGTGCATCAAACATCTGATCTTCCAGATTGAAGGTGACGACTCCACCACGTTATACTGAAAGTTGCGTTGTAGTGCATAGTGTTTAATCGCCACCTGTGCAGCTTGTTTCGAGTGAAATATTTGCCCCTTGCAGAATTCTCCATCAAAACCACCAACAGTAGACCCTGGAATTACGCCATATGAATAAGCATATGATAATTCCTCGTCCTCTTCATTACCCTGCAAGTAAAAATATGGAGGATAATTAGGTAGTTCTCCTCCCTCCCCGTCGTCGTCGTCGTCCTCCTCCTCCTCCTCCTCATCTCCGTCATCACCGTCATCATAATCATGATCGGATGGCATGCTCCATGTGTCATCACCGCCATCATCGTCTTCCTCTCCACCCCGATCCTCACTGAGCTCAGCATGTATCTCAGCACCCAAACAATAAGGATTTTGTGGTATAAAATTCCAAAGCACATTTAAGCTATCATCATCGACAATAGGCATTGCATAATGAAATAAAACACCATTCTGCCATTCTGGAAGACAGTAGGTGAAACCTGTAATCACAACACTATCTTGTATTGTTTCGTCTCTAATCCGTATTCTCCGAATTAGATGATCACAAAGTTTCTGATAGTTCACCCTGGATGGAATAGTCATCTGGAAACTTACACCACCAATAAAATGGACACCCAAATTGTCTTCTACTTTCTCTGATCGCCACCGAACAGCTAGTTCAAATCTTCTAACCCACTACATAAAAAACAAACTCACTAATTACTAACTGGACAAAATCATTATGATGAATACATGAAAAAAAATACGACTCTTACCTGTTATTAGCCATCTTTCCTGCAACCAGACAGCAACACCAGAGCTTCTTTCAGAACTTCTTTCAGTTTTTTGGTGATGAAGAACCGAAGGAAAGGTGCAGTATATATGGTGATTGGGTGGTGCTGGAGGGGAAAAAATGGCAGCGACAAAGCCCCAGTCTGGGGCAGCGCCGCTGAGTTTTCTTTTTTAAAAAAGCACTTAGCGCCAGCGCCTGAGTCTAAGGCTTTAGTGCATTAAACATATAAAAAAAACACAATATTCTTGTAAATAGTTTTTAAACCACTATATTCGTGGTAAATTAAAAAAAACAATATTTAGGGAATTTACCCAAATCAATACCAAATTCATTTGGGCTTAATCTTTATACTAGCTTTTTACCCGGCCCGTTGGCTGGTGAATTTTATTTTATCATTTAAATTAATCAATTTATCTATATGTTTAAACTATTTTGGATCTTCTAAATTTTTTACATTTGTATTTATACGTGAGTATGCGGTGTGTCTATAAATTAAAAATTCTCAATACTTAGCACATTCACTTATGATACTTCGATTCTTTGATCATTAAGCATGTCACAAAAATATATCACGTCTCGTATAGAATCTTATGTCGAGATTTGTCAACCACGATGCTCAAATTTTTTTTATCTTATACAATAGGCTAAATTACATGTTTGGTCACTCAAATTACATAAATCTTTCACGTTTGCCACCCGAATTATTTTTCTTTCTTATTCGCCATTAACTTTACGAATCGTTTCACTCTAATCACCGGCCGTCAGTTTTCGTCAAACTCCGTTAACTCCGCCAGTTTTATGATGACATGGCAAGCAGACTGCTGACTAGACCGTCAACATGAATTTAAAAAAAAAATTAACACTGGCTCGTCCTCTCCGTCAACGACCTTGACTCCAAAACTGTCTCCTCCACCGAGCTCACGTCCAAGCTCATCGACCTCTGAGCTGAAGCCGCCGCCGAGCTCCAGTACCCCCTCCCAATGCGCGATCTTGATACAGTGCTCGCTCTGTCTTTTCTTTTTTTCATCACTTCCCCTGTTTGTCATTTCATCTCTCCGTTTTTTTAAAGCTATGTAAAACAGGCATGACGGCAGCTATCCATATGTACAATAGCACACCACCAGCGTAGCTTCTTCTTCTTAATATGATTTTTCATATCCTTGTAGTGGAGAGCTGATGAAAGATTGAACTTGAACCTTTTATAAAAAGTGTTTCTCCATATCCTTCACCTTCTTCTTCACCTTTCCCTTTGTCTTCTTCGTTTCTTCTTCTTTTTATCCTAATTATTACATCCCTTAATCTTAGTCGAGCTCTACCTATTTTTTCCACAAGGATACCCGATGTACAACCCTCAGATCTCCTACCCTTCCGCTTCCCTAGATCTAAACCAGATCCCCAATCCCAAATGCTCAAGATCCAAGCTCAGTTCCAGCCCTAGCAGGAGAATCTCGACGCTCACTCCAAACCCAGAGGTTCAGTAACTTTCTGGCCTCGAAGCCCGTCCCGATGAAGCAACCCACGGCGGTGGTGGTGGCTTCATCCAAGCCGGTGAAGCTTTAAACAGGGGAGTGAGGCAGCGCCGCTAGTGGAAATGGGTTGCGGAGATTAGGCTGCCCAAGAATTAAACCAGGCTCTGGTTGGGTACCTTCTATACCGTTGAAGAAGCTGCTCTGGCTTACAAACTGAGAGGCGACTTCGCCCGGCTCAATTTCCCCGATCTCCACCATCAGGGATACGATTCTCTCTCTCCCTCTGTTTTCTCCGGACTTCATTGAAACGACTATATAGAGATTGCCATTGGGAAGCGCACATCGGAGCTCGACGGCGGCTATGCCGTAGAGGTCGGCGAGCTTGGGCATGAGGTCGGTGAAGGAGACAATGATGTAGTCGACATCGTTGACGGAGAGGACCTTGGTGGCCTGGTCGTCGAGCCGGCGTATCGTAGCTTGGTGTCTCGTGATGGGGTGGGAGGATCCGACCGCCGTACCTAAAGAGGAACTTGACCGACGCCATTGTTGTTGTTTTGGCGGAATTTGCTCCGAGTAGTGGGATTTTGCAGTAAAGAAGGAAGTTCACGGTGGCCGTTGCGGCCACTCCGATGTTAATTAATTTTTAATATTTTTTTAATTGACAATTCAGCAGTCCGTTTGCCATGTCATCATAAAACTAACGGAGTTAGCCGAGTTTGACGAAAACTGACGGCCGGTGGCTAGGGTGAAACGATTCGTAAACTTAATGGCAAATAAGAAAGAAAAGTAATTCGGGTGGCAAACGTGAAAGATTTATGTAATTTGAGTGACCAAACATGTAATTTAGCCTTATACAATATATGTCATTCAATGAATCTCGAGTTTGGACGAACTCTCAACCAATGATGTTGCTCAGATGACGACAACTTAGTTATTATTTTTTTAATAAAGGTACTTCAATATTAGATAAGTTTGGTCATCCCAATTGAAAGTTTATTGTCTTAGTGTAACATCAT